TGAAGTGCCCTCCATTTCGACGACAATAACTCAAAGATCTGATAGTATCTGCTAATATTACCGTTGAAAGATTACAGCCATTGATCACACTTTCAAAGAAATCAACCACCGCTATCTCAATATGTCCCAAAACCTTTGGAAAGATTACTAGTCCGTATATAGCCAAGGTAAATATGTCTAACCCTCGTTCTTTATTGGCATGTTACATCAGAAACTCATGAAAAAACTTCCAAGGTAGGCAACCTGTTCTTGTTTTTTCTTCGTATGAGAATCCACAATTTCCTTGTTTATCCCCATGAGTTGAGCCAGACTTTTACGAAATCCTAACTTATATTTTTTGAAATATATCTTGTCAGGAGTTTTGAGATGCAAACCCAACAAGATCGAATATTCTTCGATGGTGGGAGTCATATCAGCTTCATTAAAGATGAAACACTTGTATGCAGGATCCCAGAATTATGTTGCAGCTCTGATTAGTTGATCATCAACAACCACTGCTAAAAGGTGTGCTATATGCCCATGTTTTTGACAAAACTGCTCTTATCTTGACGAACTCATCTTCTTCCAGATATCAACCAAAGCCTCTAAATTATTCTGTTTGAAGAGGATAGATGTTTCTTGAGATAGAGTAGAATCATATCCAATTGGCAAGCAATCTCCCATCTTCAGTTGAGTCTTTTTTGACTGGGCCCTTACTTCATTAGGTGTCCCACAGGGTGCTAATACTATGAAGAACAAACTAAGCGTTCATTGGCGTCCATGAAAAAAATTTGTTGAAGACCATTTTTCAAGCAAATGTTCTTTATGCAACTTTATGATATGCGTATGAACCAATGCAAAAGAATAAGAAAAAGGTTAGTATACCCAGAAAAAGAACAAATAACTAAGTAAATTTAAACATCATACAAAGTAAAAGGGATGAATCCTATGCTTTTGGTCAATTCTAAAAGGGAAGAGTGATAGCTCTATCTATAAGTTAGGTGCTCTTAAGGTTCACTATATGCGATTTTAGGGTCAAAGTCTAAAGGTCCTCAAATTGTTCCTTACATCCTTGTCCATCACAGACTACTAAGGCACCCTAATCTTCACCCATTACAAGCTACAAGCGGAAAAGGTTCAATTTAAGTGGGAGTATTTCGCTAGCCACTACGGAGGCATTAGACCTCACGAAAGCAATAGGTACTTTACTCCCTCCTAGAGGGACGAAGCTTGGGTGTAGAGCTTATGTTATGCACATACATATGAATGACATAATTAACAAGGTAAATAAACATGAATGAATAATAACACATATATACAAAAAGGTTCAATTTTATTAGGCTTTTGGATAACACAAATTATTTGCTGGCCTGACTCTCAAAGTCCCCAACGGAGTCGCCAAGCTATCATAACGTCTAGATCCAGGGATCTATCGCTAGACATTGACTTTTAGAAGTCGCCACCAATCTTTTTTATCTAGGTACGATTAGCCACCTATGGAATCTGTCTTTTTAGGGAACACCTAAGTTTAAGGCTCCCTAAAAGAATAGGTTCAGGTCTACTAACCAGAACAGGGTTCGAGAATTCGGTTACGTGTGAGAAAGGTTATAGCACCCTCACAACGTCCATCAAAAGATGGTACCAGCATAATTTTGTGATATCCAATAAGCCTTAAAATTTTACCATGTAATTAACTATTGGAAATTATTCTCAATTGACTCTAATACTTTTAGCAAAAAATTGAAAAAATTCCCTCACCTCAAGAGTATGTAAGAAAAACTACTATTTCACTTGCAGAGGCTCCGTCGTCGGATTTATTTAAAGAAAAATCAAAATCAAAATCAAAATAAAAAGGAAGAAAAGGATGATTGTTTTTGTGCAGGAAAAATTGATACTTTCAACTTTTCCTCAAAAATTGATTTTTTGAAATTTATTTTTAAGGAAAATTGATACTTTCAACTTTTCCCCAAAATATTTTTTGAAAATTTATTTTTAAGGAAAAAAGATACTTTCAACTTTTCCCCAAAAATATTTTTTTTTGAAACTTTGATTTTCAAGGAAAATTGATATTTTTAACTTTTCCTCAAAAAACCTTTTTTTGAAATTTTATTTTTAAGAAAAATTGATACTTTCAACTTTTCCTTAAAAACTTTTTTTTTTGAAAATTTATTTTTAAGGAAAATTGATACTTTCAACTTTTCTCCAAAAATATTTTTTGAAAACTTTGATTTTCAAGGAAAATTGATACTTTCAACTTTTTTTCAAAAACCTTTTTTTTTTTAAATTTTATTTTTAAAGAAAATAAAATAATAAAACAAAATAAAAATGAAAAAAAATAAAAATAAAAATAAAATAAATAAAGAAAAGTAAAAATAAAAATAAAATAAAGATAAAAAGAATATTAAATAAACATAATCTAATAAATAAAAAAACAAATAAAAAATATAAATAAACAAATAAATAAATAAATTCAAAAAAAAAAAACCTAGAGCAGCTCGGAGGGCAGCTTGGCTCGTCTTGGCTCAAGGAAGAGAAACGGCTTGGGACCTCGGCTCGGCTCGACTGTCGACTCGGAGGGGGGAGGCACGCTCGGGTCAGGAAGCGGGTCGACGCTCGGGTCGGGTCAAATCTCGATAAAATGCGCAGATCCCCTTGATCACTTAAGACAAAAACAGCGTCGTTTTGGGAGGGTATATAAGGCTCTTCCCTCTGTTTTTCGACAGAAAGCTTCTCCTCTCTCTCTCTCTTCTTTTTTTTTCCTCTCGCTTCTCTCTAAAAGGTCGAAGAACTCCGGTAGAATATTCACCGGATTCTGAAAAAATTTGTCGAAATCTGGGTTTTTCGTTGGAAGTTCACCGAAAAGTTATCGGTTTCTGGGATCTTTCACCAAAAACTGGGCAGCTCACCGAAAACTTCAAAGTTGGCTGGAACCTTCGTCGAAAAATTTAACTTTTCACCAGAAAAATCACCAGAATCTGGAATTTTTCATAAATTCCCAGAAAAAAAAATCTCTAAAAATCTCCAAAAAATTTCTGCTAATTCCTAAAACACTTTTAAACCTTTCCTTAGCCTTCTATACTCTTCTATATGTCTCTTTTCTCTCAAATCAGTAGCTTTGCTCACTGTTTTTCTCTGTATTGCTTTTGTTCCAGAGGATCCTTTTTATAGGGATTGATCAGGAGTTTCTGATTAATCTCAATTCCTCTTTGGACGGGGATTCAATCTTTGAATCCAATCTGGACTCTTCTGATTGAATCCCAATTCAATCTCCAGCCAGATAAATCAAAAAAATGAAAGAAAAAAACCAAACGAAAATAAATCAGATAAATTAAAAAAATTAACAGATAAATTAAAATCAGATAATACATAAATATTAACAAAAAAAAATAATAATAAAGATATTTACATATTAATAAATACATAAATACCTAAGATAAAAAAAATAATAATAATAAAAGAAAAAAATATATATACATATATAAAATAATAATAAAATAAAAATGTAAAATACAAAAAAAAATAAAATAAAATAAAATAAAAATAAAATGAAGAGAAAGGAAAAAGAAAAAAAATATATAGAGTTACCCATTTGGACCAGGCCCAATTGATCCGGACCTGGACCAAATTGGGTGTCTACAATAACCAATAGGAAAATCCATATTTTGTAGAGATATGTTCTTGCATTAATAACAAGAAGAGCAAGAGCAAAAGTGACGAAGAGAATCCTCAATGGACAGGCAAAATAACTCAAGGTAATTAATTAAATTCGGAAATCATTTCTACTTTAAATTATTAGTAAGTATGGGTAATACAACTCGCAATATGAAAAGATAAATAAAGGTAATATGTATGCCAATAAAAAAAAGTTCATAGAAAAGCTTGAAATATGATAGAGATGAAGAAGATAATGAGGGTCATGAAGAGTTTGCTCGGTTTGGCATTTGAGGATGGGCGTCAGCCATTAAAGAAGAAGAAGAAAATAATCATATAAGAAGAGAAAGTTACTTTGTTCATTGGAGCTTATTGACTAGGAAAAATGGGGAACCATAAAAAGATGAAAGAGAAGAATAATAATTATACTCAATGGATCTTCGTGGCTTTCATACTATGTGAAGTTTTAAATAAGAATATTTGTGTGAATGAAAATGATGAGTAAGAAAAAAGTAATAAGATAAGAACACAAATAAATACGTGGTTTAACCATTGTAGCCTGCATACACGAAAAAGACTCAAACAACTACATTGTTAATATTTTAATTTATGTGAAACAGTGCATAAATTTCTATTTATATAAATAGTGTAGATAATATATGAAAAATAATAATAAAAGAGATATTAGAGATTACAATAAAATATAATTAATTTTAAAAATATTTTTTAAATCAATAATTGATTGTATACTGATTACCAAAATCATTTCATAATTGTTTTTATAGGAATCTGGAGAAAATCAATACTTTCCTAAAATAGGTCTATTGTCACCGAAGGTAAAGAGTAGTATTGAAGTGATAAAAAAAAAAAAAAGTAAATCCCACATTAGTTAAATCGAAGACATTCTGAACATATAAATATAATAAAAATCTTTTCACTGAATGTAAATTAGTTTTCCATTGAATGCCCGATTTTATATTAAATATCCATCCTAGAATTTAACAATTCTTTGGGTGAGGAGGTTAAATTGAGATAAAGATTTTAATTTCGAATCCTCTAGCAATTATATAACTATAAATACAAATTGGATTTTGGTTTATATAATAATAACTAAATTATTAAATAACTACAAGTAATTTAATTTTTTTTATCTTTTCTGATAAATTGCTACGATATATTACAAATTAGAAGGCCTACCTTCATCGACAATTTTTTAAGATATAAACTTCAATATAAAAAAAATTATGAGTTTGATCAAATTGATTAATTTGTACCCACCGACTTGCCTTTTGGGATACCATCTATAGTGAGTAATGCTCCTTTTATCTGCTACTATTCATTTTTCTTTTTTATATTTTTTTGAAGGTACTATGCCAAAGGTAAAGGAAGACAGCGAAGAGCATACACAACACTATCTTCCAGCCAATTATGCTGCATTTGTACAATTTTTCAAGTTTTTGATGAAATTCCTGATGGTCGTTTTGGGACTTGGTTAGTATTGAATTCGTTTTTACAGTAAAAATTTTAAATTCCACAAGCAGAATTAAAGAATTAACATATAAGTTCATCTCAGGTTTATATTTGTATCAGTTTAAAGTGTCGATGAATTTAAGTGTTATGGTAGCGCAGGCTTTGGAAGGATAAGAATGATGCCAAGAAAGAAGCGGAGACACAAATGGGCATATCAGGTGATGAATAAGATGATTGAGAATGCTTCTATGTATAGGTATTCTTCTGGAGGAAAAACTGGCAGGGGCTATGGTGAAATTACTGTGGACTTTCCCTTTAATCCAAGCCATATGATGAGTTCCTCGGATGAAAACTTAAACAACCAATGGGGATTTCTAAATAAAAGAGGTATGGTTTATTTTTATTTCATTTTTTCATGGATACCACAAGAATTGTCATATTACAAGAAACTAATGGCAGAATCTCCCGTAGAAGCAAATTGATTGGACTTTAAAAGATTCAAACTAAGATATCTTTAGGCATAGCACCTTATTTGACGTGGTATTAAGAACAGACCAATTACGTTTGTCCGTAATGGCCCGTTAAATTTTCTATTACTAAGTCCTAATTTAGTATTGCAGTGAAAAAATATATTTGGGGTAGAAAATCACTATATTATCTTTATATTTTTAATATTTTATTACTCTCTCTCTCTCTCTCTCTCTCTCTCTCTCTCTCTCTCTGTATATATATATTGTAAACATTTCAATTACTCACAATTAATATTTTTTCATAACAATCTACAGAACACTTAAAATTTTTAATCTTATCTTTCTTACCATAATCCAATTTTTTCCTACGGCAGCAACAATGCTAAACTAACCCTCCATCTTTTTAGACCTTAATTGAAGAATTAATGTTGTTGAGTTTTGATAAAGTTAGGATTGAAATAGCGAAGTTTAAACAGTTAAGACTAGAATTAAAAACCCATAAATTTTTATGGCTTAAAATGTAATTATTCCTGTTTGTTATTACATATTTATGAAATATTATGAACAGATAACCAAAGTAAAAATCAATTAGCAGACTCCGATTTTGATCGATAGCTACTAATTAAATATTTCCACTCCAACAGAGTTTCTAGTTTATGATATATTTTTAAAAAATTGACTTCCATGCATGTCATGCACTAGCTAAAGTTGTGATTTATCATATAGGTTCCTCAAAAGAGGGAGAGAATTATGCAATGGTGGATACTCGTAGTCCTATACTAATAGCAGCAAGTAAAGGGATAACCGAAATGGTAGACAAAATTTTGGAAAATTTTCCAGTTGCTATCCAGGACGTGGATGCCCAAAACAAAAATGTCATCCTCTTAGCAGCAGAGAATGGACATTATCATACTTTCAAATTTCTAATAGAAAGGAAAATTTTCCATGAGAGTGTTTTTCACCATTTGGACAACCAAGGAAATAATGCATTGCATCTTGCTGCAAAGTATGGACATTATCGACCCTGGATTATTCCAGGATCTGCATTGATGCAGATGCAATGGGAACTCAAATGGTATAAGGTATGATACTTGGGATCATTGATTGATTTACCCATTCTCTCCATTTTTCTTTTGTGTTACCTTGAGTTGTTCCATGAATGCAGTTTGTCAGGAAATCCATGGCAAAACATCGTCTTGCTGATTACAACAATAAACGTCAAACCCCAAAACAGGTCTTCACAGAAACACACAAAGTCCTCGTCAAAGATGCAAGAGAATGGCTCACCAAAACCTCTGAATCATGCTCCTTTATTGCAACAATTATTGCAACCGTAGCATTTGCCACTGCAACAAACGTTCCAGGAGGTTTCAATCAAGAAAGTGGTAAACCAGTTCTAGGAGATGATCCTGCATTTGGTGTATTTGCAATTTCATCTTTTGTGGCTCTCTGCTTCTCTATTATAGCCTTAGTCACTTTCCTGGCAATTATCACCTCTCGATTCGAAGAGAAAGATTTTGATTTGAAACTGCCTAGGAAACTTATTTTAGGTTTAACATCGCTATTTACATCTATAGTTGCAATGCTGGTCTCCTTTTGTGCAGGGCATTTCTTTGAACTCAAAGATAAATTAAAATTTGCAGCATTTCCAATATACACAGCAGCATGCTTGCCGATTTCCTTCTTTGCTCTTGCACAACTACCACTCTACTTCGATCTTTTCGAGGCTTTCTTCAAACAAGTGTCATAACGCAGCTACAAGGAATTTGCTTCCTAAACATCTGCTATACCGTTTTATGTTCTATATAATACATGCCTTGGTGTTCAAGTAATTTAATTGTTGTTAGATATAATATAGGATTGGCTCTGAATGAATGTGGTTGCAGTATTGTTGTTTTCCAATGATTGACGTACCTTAGTGTTATTATCTATGTGACATTAAGTTCTATTGTTGTACACTTGAATGAATTAGTAACTTCTATTATCGTTTGATGAGTATATATATTTTTTCTTTTTCTTTTGGTGATGTGGAAAAAAAGAAAGGAATTGATAATTTTAAATACAATGACACAATATAAAGAAAAGAAAGACAAATAATTTAAAATTTTAATAAAAATTATATATAAATTTGAAAAAAATAAAAAAAAAATATTTCATATGTGATATGTCGAGATAAGTTGTAATAAAAATTTTTTTATATTTTATACATATTTGACATAAAATAAATATGACAGATAAAATTAATAAATGCAAAGATAAACATATTAGCATTACCTATTAAATTTGAAAGTTATTAAACAAAAAAATTACAAATGTAAATGAATTGTAAATGAGGAGATAAACATTTTAGCATTACTTATCAAATTTGTATTATAAAATTAGGTATGTTTTGGATTAGTCGACTAATTAGACCTACAAAATTGGTCTAACTTAGGATTGAACTTTAAATAAGATTTTTTTAAAGTTAATTTAAAGTTAAAATTGATTTATCTCGAATGATTTAATATTAAATTGATTTGGTTTTAAAATTTAATAATTTAGATATAAAATAATTTATATTTATTAATCTAAATCTAAATAACTCAAATTATCAAATTCAAAATAATTTGAATTTAAAAGAATCAAATTTTATTTTGATACAAAATAATTGGATCTCAAATAATTTAACCCAAGTCCGACTGAATGGTTGAATCATTACCCGAGAGATCATATAGTCTTATATGATATACCACAATTTTTAAGTTTAGTAATGAAATTTTTAAATTTTATTAATAGTGTATAGGATAATTCTTTTTAAGGGATAATGTTATCAACAATTCTTAAATTACAATAAAATATTTAACATCAATTGAATTTTAAAAATTTTTAATGTTATAACTGAATTAGTTTAATGTTAGACATGGATATAAAGGAGTCGTCACCAATCTTTTTTGGTTAAGTGTGATTGGCTACTTGAAACTGATCTGCAAAACAAATGTTAGGTTCGAGAGTCTATTACGCATGAAAAATGTTGTAGCACCCTAAAACGTCTATCTAAGGGATGGTGCCAGTTTGATTTCGAATTATCCAAGCCTTACTTATTATTGTTTACCAGATAGTAAATTTTATACTTTCCCCTTTTTTCCTTTCTTTTTCCCTTTTTTTTGTTTTTTTTTTGTTTATTCGCTTTTTTATTTTTTTATTTTTTAGGAAAATCCATTCTTATCTTTTTTTAGAAAATTTTCTTTTCCTTTTTTCTTAAAAAAAATAGAAAAAAAATCAGAATATAAAATATGGGTAAAAATAAATAAAATAAAATAGAAATTAGAAAATAAAAAGAAAATGAAAAAAGAAAAACCTGCGATTGGGTCGGGTCGGGACACGGGTCAGTGTGCGGATCTTTGGGTCGACACGCGGATCCTAGCTTGGCAAAACGGTGTCATTCTGGAGCAGTATAAAAGGCGCCTTTCAGCATTTTTCCTCAAAACCCTAGAGCCCTTCTCTTTCTACAAATAAAATTCTCTGACCTCTCTTTAAAATCTCCACCGAAAAGTTTAATCAAAAACTGAAAATTCTATCGATTTCTGGAAACTTTGTCAAAAACTTCAATCGAAAATTGAAAAACCCACCAGATTCTGGAAACTTCATCAGAATCTAACCGAAAACTTCAACCTTCGTCGAAAAATTCAACTGAAAAATTCAAAAATTTCAAATGTTCTTCAGAAACCTAGAAAAACCCAAAAAATTCTAAAAAATTCCAAAAAAATTTCCAGATAGTCCTAACCCCTCCTAGACCTCTGACAATCTCAAATCCACCTTCAGAAACCCAAAATCACACCCAGAATCACAAATTGAACTCAAAATCCCTATCCTCGAATCCTAGAAACCCTTACTGCCAAAAATTTTCAGAGCTTCCCTAACAATTTCCCATAGGTTTTTCTTCTTCTTATTGTCTGTTTCAGTGTTAGAATCAGTTTAATTTATAGGCGATCCTAGGAGCAATTTCATGAAATGGACAGAATCAATCCCTGGCTTAAATCATGGGATTGCATTGCATTCTATCTAGCGAGATTTTCGAGTCCAAAATTTCAGACAGTCTCCTGTTGATACGATTTGGCATTGAAAGCTTGAATCAGCAGGATTCTGATTTTGATCAAGTGTGAATCAGAACAGAAAAAGAAAAAAGGGAAAAAAAAGAAAAGAAAAAGAAAAATATAATAATAATAATAATAATAATAATATAATGTGATATAATTGAATAGAAAAAGAAAAATAAAAAAAAGAAAATAATGATAATGATAATAACAACAAAAATAATAATAATAATAATGTAAGCATCCACTTGGACCAAAATGGGCCCTAATGGGCCTGACCCAAACAGGCCTACCTAAAATAGGCCTAGACCAAAATGGGTCTAGTCGAGTCTGGACCAGGATAGGCCCAATTAGGCCTAGACCAAAATAGGTGTCTACAGCTGCTCCTCTTTACACATCTTTGTTATACAGAGATGTTACAAATACCTAGACACCCACTCTGATCTTGAATTCAAGAAATGACCTGGATGGAACCAAGGTCAGTTAACCGAAAATAATTCACGAGTCAAATGAAGTAACCATAACTGAGTTAAGGTTGAAAATAAATGACCGAAATGGAACTACGAGTTATAAGAAATGATCTGGACTTAGCCAAGATCAGGTGATTGGGATAAAACCATAAAGTCAAAATAAAAGCAACCAAGATCGTGTCAAGGTCGAAAATAAATGATGGGGACAAAACCACGAATCATGTGATCGGGACAAAACCACGAGTCGAAATGAGGCGACCAAGACTGAGTCGAGGTCAAAAATAAATGATTGGTACGAAACCACGAATCATGTGATCGGGATGAAACTACGAGTCAAAATAAGGTGACTAGGACCGAGTCAAGGTGAAAAATAAATGATCAAAATGAAACCACAAATCATGTGACCGGGATGAAACCACGAGTTAAAATAAAACGACTAAGACAGAGTTGAGATAAAAAAATGATCGAGATGAAACCATAAATTATGTGACCGAGATGAAACCACAGTCAAAATGAGACGACCAGGATCGAGTCGATGTCAAAAATAAATGATCGAGATAAAACCACAAATCATGTGACTGAGACAGAACCACAAGTCAAAATAGAGTGACCAAGGCCCAGTCAAGGTTAAGAATAAATTATTAGGATGAAACCACAAATCATAAGAAATGATCTAGACTGAGCCAAGATTAAAGAAGTGAGATAATACAAATGTATGCCTTATCTAGGATGCAAATGAATCATTGATTGTGGTACTAAGGCTTTTGTATTCTCATTTTAGAAGAGAAACCATCGGATATTATCCTGCATGTTCACTTTCATTGTACACTTTAACAAAGAAATTCCCATTCACATTTGACTTGAAAAGCTATCTTTCATCAATCTGGAGGTGCATCTTTGACAAAGAAACCTTATTTCATCAACCTGGAAGTATGCAAGGAAGGCATTAACCTAGAGGTATTTTGGCAAAGGAACTTTTACGTCCACATGTCTGCTTAACTAAAGAGAGCCATGGAAGTCTTTTTTTTTTTTTTTTTTATTTTTTTTTTTGGTCAGCCTTTGCCTTTATCTCTTTCAACCCTTCAAAATAACACTCTTTTTATGATTTTGTTCAATTATTGATCATTATTCCAATTTCAAAGTAGGAGGATGCAAGTTATGCATCTTTTCTACTCATGGCAAGATATAAAGAGGAAGAACAATGTGTAAGGTTAAGAGAATAACAAGATAGTTTTCATTTATTTATGAGGATCAGGTACAAGTGATGGTGTAAAAGAAACAACTGCACAAGAGTGGTTATTTTAGGGTAACAGTTCCCTAGGATAAATGATTAGATAACCATGACAGCAAATCTCGAATCTCCTTCAAGAGCTCAATTAAAATAGGATGCCCTAATACTTTAGAGATTATCGACATTTACTGATATACTTACTGATTCCACATTTTTAATCTGAACCTTTTCTTTGAACCCAAGCTACCCTTTTGGGTTTTCGACCTAAGCTCCTATTTTTTTCATTTTTTTGGGTCAAGTAAAATACTTCTTCATTGTGTCAAAATTGATAGGACCAGAAAGCTCATCTCTATTCATTTCTGACAAGATCAAAGCTCCTCCCAAGAAAGCTCTTTTTACCACATAAGGTCCTTTCCAATTCGAAGTTCATTTGTGTTGATTATCATACTGACTCGAAAGAATTCTTTTCAACACCAACTCTCTTTTTCAAAATTGATGAGGTTTGACTTTTTTGTCATGAGCTCTCATCATCCTCTTTTGATATAATTGGTTATAGCAAAGTGCCATCAGTCTCTTTTTCTTAATAAAGTTCAATTGCTTGTAGCATTCCTGAATCCATTCAGCTTCTTCTAGTTTTACTTCTTTTATAATCCTTAGAGACAGGATTTCTACTTCTACTGGTAATATAGCCTTCATCCATAAACCAAGGAGAAAGGGGTTGCTCTCGTAGAGGTGCGCACAGAAGTTCGATACGCATGTACGGTGAAAGGCAATTTCTCATGCCAGTCTTTGTATATTTCAGTCATCTTCTCCAGAATTCGCTTGATATTCTTATTAGCAGCTTTCGCTACCTCATTCATTTTTGGGTGATATGGAGCTGAATTATGGTGTTTGATCTTGAACTGAGCATATACTTCTTGTATTATTTTACTATTAAATTCTTTGCATTGTCAGATAAGATTATTTCTAGAAGCTA